TATTATCAAAGCTGCGAGCTGACAGGTCTGAGCGTCGCCATATTAGAAATCTGAGTTGAGTGCGTTCTGATTGGTTGCGTGCTGACGACGCTGACCAATAAGACATGCGTTACATTTTAGCGTGACATCCGAGAAAAATGATGATTTTTTAGATTTCTCGACTTTGGATGCATATATCTTGATTTATAAAGCACACAGAGCAAAAACAAGCATATTTTTCTTATGTAATTTGGGTATGCGCTTTCGATTGAGCCTATTACCAACTTAATCGGCCCAGCCGTTTTTGAGATCCGATAATCTCGGCTCATCTGAATTTTCCGTCTCGCGTAAAGATACACGGTCGGTCTTGCGCTGCGCGTGAACTTGGCGCGAGACACTACCGTGTCTCTTGATACCTCTCAACAATCGCCCGTCACTTTAATCGACACTCCCGACAAAAGTTTGCGATTTTATGCACATTTATTACGCAATTATTACGGATAAAATATGCGATTAAATAATTTACGTTTTTACTTTGCATTCCGTTGGGCGCGAAAAGAGTGAGCGGAAAAGATGTCACTCACTCTAGCGGTCTATAGAGCAATACGCGTAACAGTCGGTAGGACACATGCTCCTCTACCGGCCGCTGCGAGTTTTAAAAACATCGCAGAGCGTGAATGTTTCACGAAGTGTCGATTCTAATCGCGTTTTTTATCCGCAATAATTACATAATAAGAACGCATAATTATTACAAATTTTTGCCAGGAGTGCCGATTAAAGTAACGGGCGATTGTTGGAATGTATTATTTACCGCGGAAATTTGCGATCAACGATGTTTCCTCGATCGTTTAGCGGTCGATGGATTGAAAGAGGTTATGATTGCAGTGAGTAGAGATTTTAATATGTAAAATCATCTATAAATTCGCTCAAGAGAAATATAATGTATTTTCCATTAGAGATGTAGCGTCTATTCAAGAATTTATTTTGGGTAAATGTAATTTACAAGTCACGGGCGACCAGAGAGATGCATTGTCGTACAAAATTGCAAAAATTTTTGACAATTTGAAGCGTACGTATTACATCTAAATACCATACACATGTAGTTATATCTTTAATTATTAGAAATGTGCAAAAACTTAAACATATGATTAAAAATTAAATAATGCCCTCTGCAATACATAAATTAATAAAAATATAACTGTTGCTTTTTTACTAACTCATAATTCGTTAATATATAGCTAACAACTATTATTCAGGGTATTAAAATATAATAAAATTGCATTATAAATATCACAAAATTTTTTTAACAAAGTTATTAAATTTTTAATTGTATACTGCACATATACATATATGTATATATGTATATATATATATATATATATATACATACATACATAATATATACATGCATAAATATATAATTAAACAAAAATAGATTTTGATTTTTTTAACACAAGGGATGATTCTTGTTTTATAATTTGGAATAAACAGTAAACTTTATCTTTTATTCAAACATTTTTGGAAATTGGGACATTTACGATAGATTTAATGTATTATTAATGTCTTAAAAAGTATTAAAATATCTAGCTTTAAAGATTTTAATAATTAATTTTATATTTTATATATAGCTAAGATTCAAACGCTAGAAAAATGAAACACATGCTCACTTAATCGAATTCGCAAAATAAATCTCGATCGAGAGTAACGTTCATGATCGTCCCATGGCAGAAATACAGTTTTAAAGAGCCATTATATTAGCAATAGCGGAATAAGTTCATCGAGATAAAATTTTATTTCGTATCGTACAGCGATAATTTCCACAAAATGTATTATACGAAATTACATGTAAGTACCGAGGGAAGGGCCTGGTTAATTCTTGTAATAAAATCCTGACAGGTATTTGAGTAAAGGAACTGAAAAGGCGTCGGTTGAGAATCTTCCCGTGTTACAGCAATCTAACTCGACTGTACTTCTACCACGGCGCCTAGATTCGATTTCATCCTGTCGAATCAAATGAGAAGTCGTGACTCTCGAGACTTTCATCGACTCTATTCTCGTCGAATTGGGCCGATAACTTTCTCAGGTTCCCCGAGTACCTTTTAATCACGTCTAAGAAATTTCGAGTTGTAATTCTAAAAAAAATATGTAAAAAATTTAAGAAAACAAAATAATTATTATTTACAATCTATATAACTATCTAGAACTCAATTGCGGTTTGTCTATTTAAACGGTAGACTGTGAAAGACTGTAGGTAGAAAAATATGGAAGAGAAAGAAGGTGCGGTTGTCAACAGTTTACTCTAGAGCGGACAAATCTCCTGCCTCTGGGACAAAATGCGTCTCGTAAATATATTTGCGATACCAACCACCTCTGATTCTAGTCACATATATATAGAGCTAAAAAAGATGTTGGAGTTTTGAATTAAATATTTGATTTTACAATTTAACAAAGAAGCGTAGAAAGTTAATGCTCTCGAGATGTTATTATTGACATATTATAAAAAAATTTCTGAATGCATATAATATTTAATCGATAATTGAAG